TCCTTTTTTTCAAAAAACATTCGGGCAATGGAGGCTTGCAAACCTCCGGTCGCAAGGCTAACTCAGTTTTGGGCACCCCCTAAAATCCTGTTTTTCCTCTTATCCCTCCCTCTTAATGACCAATTTATATCTAATATTATGCTCTGTTGTGTCTCTCAACATACACAGAACCCCGTTATTAAAACGTTTTCACCATTTACAGGTAGAGGGGAAAATAAGTGAGCTGCATAACATCAAGTTAATTGCTGTTACAATGAGTAGACCAAGAGTATGTCCTCATATTGTTCATATTTTTATCAATGTATTCCCCCCCCCCCCTTTCTCTGACTTGTGTGCGGTCAGCGTGTGTTTGTGTGATGAGATAGAGTGCAAACGCTGCAGGTGACATTAAAAGGAGGTTTAAAAAGGGGCTCGGCGTGATTAAGGTTTTCTTGTCTTCGGGGGAAATAAACACGAGTTTGAGCACAAGTGGCAAGCCGGCACATTACGGCCTTTTAGCGCCATCGTGTTCTTGTTCTCCGCCAAAAGCCTTCACGTGTCCTTTTTTTTTGTATTTGGGACCGCAATTGTGTTTTGAAGTGGGTTACAATCACAGATGAGACACTTGCCACTTTCACACTGCTTTTGTAAGAATCAGAGGCGCAGCAGTGTATGTAAAATAAAAATTGAACTTTATCCTCATAAAAATTACAAATTTTCTCCTGAAAAAAATAGACTACATTATCATAAGTTTTTTTTTTCTAAAATATATGACCGAAGCTTTACTATGATTAAATTTTTTTTATATTGTTTGACAAAATACGACTTTTCAGATTGCAATTTTTTTGATCAAATATAAAAAACATGCATACTCGTAAGATTAAAACTTATTAAAAAAATGCCATACATTTTTCAAAAATAAATAAGTTATTTTTAAAGTTAAACATCAGCTTTTTGTCTTGTATTATTACCATTTCTTAAAAAAAATGAATTTGTTCTCATTGGAATGAAGATTGAAGGTTTTGAAATTAACGGTTTTGCATTGAAAGGGGGGGCAAGGGGAAAATGTGACAAAAGTAAAATTGATCAAAACCAAATCAACAAAAATACAGATTATGACCATTTGTTAAAAACAACAACCGCTTTATTCAGTCAAAACATTTGCGCACACACGAACAGCGTGTCATCCAGACATCGTGGTTTGCATTGATCGGTTACAGTAAGCATGCCAGGCCAGTAGGTGGCAGCATCACCAATGACCGGGCTGTTTGCTACATTTATTTTGAAAGTCTTATTCTGTTTTGAATTTGCTGTACTTAATCACCTGGACACGTTGGCGTTGCCGTAAACGTTCACTCCGTCGGCGACGCGTGATGAGAACCGCTGTCGTCGTTTGCATCGCGAGGTCGTCGCGCGAGTGTCATTTTCAAATGTTGGTGTTTTCAGGCGGGCATTCGCACTTCAAACCATGTCCACCTACGCTCACGCGCGTGTACATTAGCATGCTCAAATAAATAACTCAAGCAGACGTATGTAAATGAGGGCCGACGCGGCTTTGAGAACCTCCGCGTTGATGTCGCCGATGAATCCCCGTTGAAATATTCATGCCGCCCGTCACCGGCACGCCCGAAGCAGCCGGATCCATAAGAGCCTCCCGCAGCCGCGGGAAGCAGTGCAAAAACGACCAAGATTCATCCTCAGCCGCCATGAAATATTGATGGCGAGGCATTCAAGTAAAGTTACTTTTTGTGTTCTGATTTAATGAATGATTTGAGCGGCGGCGGCGAATGTCGAGTGTGCTGAAGCCTGCGCTAATGCCCATCCGGGGGTCTTGTGTGGTCATGTGTCACACTGCAGCAGGATCAAAGCCCGGCTGAGGGATCCCGCCATCGGGTAAAAGTACTTCCACGGGGCCCGGAGGTCCGGACGAGCCAGGGAGGGGCTCTCGGTTTTCCGATGTTTTAGATCTTGCATCCAAAGGGGACTTTTTAGCGGGAGCAAATCTGTTTTTCATCGCACACTCTTACATTAGAGATACTGCGATTGGTGGGGGGGGTCGAGGCAAAGCAGCAGTGCAAAGAAATGGATCGTGGCAGTGCAGCGGCTCTCCCATTCTCCCTCTGGCATCCTCTGAAAGATTGATAAGCCCAACCGGAATCTGATCCCGCCCTGCAAAGCTTTCATAATCATCACACCACGGGCCAGGAAATTCGTTTTGGTCAAAAATGTCACCCGGTAGCCCCTTAAGTCAATGTGGAATCCGTCAAACTGCTTTGCCCACAAGCAATGGCGAAAAGGCAGCATTTACAAATTTGGTGACCACACTACAAAATTTATTAAGGGAAATGAAGCTAAGATGACGGTTCCAACCAAAATGGTTGACTTCCCGTGTTTTTATTGCTATGGCGTGGTGAGACTTTTTTTGTGGGTCTACTTATGATAGACATGCCCACCAAATTTCATGGTGTGAAGTTACACTGTTTTCGGGGGCTGAATTTTACACAAGCTTGGCGTTTAAATGCATGTCATCAAACTTTACCACAATGCTCCGCCCACATTGAATGACAAAAATTGTCTTTCAGAAATGGTTCCAGTTTGTTTGGGCTCTGCACGAATCGGTGGTGATTCGAACTGGGATTTGAGTGAGCCTGGAAAAGACATAATTGACCGAAGAAGGCCTTCTGGATGAGCGCTAGCCAGTTAACCGCTAGCTAGCAAGATTGATCAATGGCACCAAAAATCACCAGGACTTCGACTTTTGGCCTTGATACTGCGCCGGATCCTGGTTAAGGTAAGTCATTTTAAATTAAAAAGAAAAACATTTGGTTTGAAGCGGCCATTTCAGAGTCATCTCGGTCATTTGCATGTTTCTTTCGAGACAATTTGTCTTTTCCGATCGTGTGTAACTGCTCCCAAATTGGGATTTTGTGTACTCGACTGACAACAAAATTGCGACACGGTGGTGGTTTCGCCATTGCGTGTGTGCAGAAGAATTGAAGCAAAGCGGATATTTTGGTTTGAACTTTTGGTTTTGTCCTTGAGAGGCTTTTATTGAAATCAGCCTGCGCCTTACGTGTTAAAAAATGCCGTGCTCTTTTCAAAAAGAGAGTCCGGCGGAGGAAAAAGTCTCCAATTAAAGTCAAAAGGGTTGCGAGCAGATGACCTGAAAAGGAAGGCTTGAGTAGCTACGAAGTGTCAGGAGACGCGTGTGGCAGGTGAAAACGGGAATCGTCGCACTCGAGTGAACACTTAAACGGATAAAGGCGGTTTGGGTGTTGGGGCGGGTGGGTGGGGGGGGAAGAACGGGACCAAAAGCCTCCGGGCGGGTGGGTGGGGGGGGGAAGAACGGGACTAAAAGCCTCCCATCACTTGCAACAAGACATCGGTACCCCAAACATGGTGTGTCAGCATCTTTAAACAGCAGCTGACGGAATCGTCTTGACAGCCAGTTCACATGTAACATCTTCGATCGGTCCCCCTCGGAGGGGTGGGGGGGCGGATAGAGAGACGCCGGGGCCGTTTTAGCCGCGGCGACCGCGCCACAAATTTCCAAGTGGAAATTTGGCTGTTTTGTGTCAAGAGTCATGATTTTAGTCGCGCAAAATCTGATTTTTGAAGTAGAGAGGACTCGTCATCGTATGAGAATCAAGTCACATTTTAATTTTAGAACAGAACGTTATCATCTTATGAGTAAAAATGCTCCACCCCCCCACCCGCACATTCACAAACAGTTCCGCAAAAATGGCCAGCCGACAGTTTGGGAGGGATTCCGAACGCAGCCATATTGATCGGCGCCTGTGAGGGATCCCGCAGCCGCCGCCGCCGCCGCCTTGTCGAGCCGAAGCGAGAGTCTGTGTGTATTGATCGGCGACAAGTTTACAAGGAGAATGGCGGCCGAGACGGCGAGAACTCGCACCGCGTCGCCCTCGCTTAATGGCGGACAGATGCTGTCGCCGTCGCCCTGGGAGCTTTCGCCTCGCCGCCAACACGAGGCCGCGTGACGGACATGTTGAGAGATGCGCGGGGAAGATTCTCCCGGAACGTCGACACGCGGCCCGGCCCCTCCCTGCGATTGTTTGCTACGGGGGTAAAGCTTTTACAAAAAGGGGGCGTAGGTCAGTCGCATCCCTTGGTGAGACCACCAACTCCATTAGCTCTCGGGGCCACTGGGGGATGTCCCTGCGAAACCCCCCCCCCCCACCCCACCCTCTCTCTGCCCCCGCTTACAAAGATATTCCGTCAGCAAAAGTCTGATGTCAAATCATCTCCGTTACACTCGACTGGCCGCCTTTTTGTCACACATTGTGACAACAAACAAACAGTGCAGGCAAGCGCGCTAAAAGCAAGAAAGGAGGTGAAGAATCTACGCACGGTTTAGACAACGCTGAGGCCGTATGTTGAGAACGAGACGTCCGCGTCGTGTATCAAGCTCCACTTCGACATGATTCGCGGCAACTGCGACTCGCTCAAAATGCGACGGTCTAATCACAAAGCGATACCGTTCACTCCAATGACGATATCATTCGAGCGATACTTCAACTACGATGCCGTATGATTTGTTCCTAGCTTGAGATTTGGCGCACACTCGACAGAGCTTTGACGAGATTTTTTTTAAAAAGCAGCAGTGTGTCTGAAGCGGATCCCCGGGAGAGACTCGACATGTATTTTTTTCTTTTTTTTTTTGGGGTGGGGGATGTCTTTTTACTTGGCAAGTGGTCTGCTGGTGGTCTGCAGAGGCCTGTGAGGGAAGTGGACTGGATAAAGCGTTCACTTAAAACCTGGCTCTTGCTAAAAGGTCACCTAGGAAATGCGCTTGATGCTTTCTCTGACTGCCTTTGCATTTCTCCCGGGACGGTGGACAACATAAGCAAACCAAATCTTAAAAGTAGAAGGTGGATCAGGAAAAGGAGTCCATATACCGTATTTTCCGCACTATAAGGCTCTTCGGAGTATAAGGCGCACCTTCAATGAATGACCTATTTAAAAACTGTTTTCATATATCGGGCATTATAAGGCGCATAGATTACCGACCGAAATAAGTTGTTAAAAAAAGACGCCAAATAATAAAATAAGTAAAATATGCCCTCTAATGAAATGCTTTTGTCGATTGTTTTCGATTGTAAAGGCCTATTTGTCTGATTATACACAGATGAAAGCAATATGAGGCAAGCATAATAAAGAACAGGACAAAGTGACCCAGACTGCGGGTGTGTTTGAATTCTCCACTCTGACAGCGCTGTGAAAACAAGAGCTCAGCAACTCTTAATTAAAAGGGGCAAGCTGCACTTTTATTTGCTTTTGTGCGGCTTTTGTGCCGCGCTTTCATCGCACTGTACGGAGACGGGCGGCAGATGCTTCCCAAATCCCGTCGTTCAAACACGCATCACAGCGACCCATTCGTGGAAAAATCAGGACGGCAGGAGCTCTGTGATTGTCCTTCTATTGTACCGAAAATACAAACACACACACACGAACGCTGTATGAGAGGGATGAGCTGAGTCTTAGTGTCTTTTGTATTCCGTGCAATATGGTGGAAAGTGGTTTTTAATCCACAACACGCGTCTTTGTGCCGCAGCTTGTTCGTTGCATTAGTCTGAAATCAATCAATCTTGTTCCTGTCCTGTTCCATTATGTGGACACAACCGTTGAGACAATCCTTAATTTGGTTACAAAACAAACATTCCCAACATGTGAAGCAAATGTGACAGAATAACCTGATGACTTAAAACTGTCCTGTTCCATGGTATGCGCGCTAGGCTTTTGAAATGATTGAGACAAAAATGTTGACAGTCCTGAGTCGTTTCAACAACAAAGATTCCCAACACAGTTTCAAAATCAAAAGTAATAAACTCCCGAATTCAATCTTGTGTATCCTGTCCTGTCCAATTGTGTAACATGGGCAAAACATTGAGTGACAGTCCTGTATCATTTCACATTTAACAAATACAAGCAGATAACCTGACTACTGAAATGTTTTCTACCCTATCCTGTGCTACTCCTTAATATGGAGACTGTCCTGAGCTGTTTTTCTGTTCTTTAGTTGATATCTGGTTTTGTCTCATGTATGTCTTCTGGTTTCTTCTGGTTCATATCTTGCACGGCTTGTCGGCCTGGCCCCTTGCGGCTTCTAATCAGCTCCCTCAGCCACTTGGGTCTTGCCCAGGTGTGCCTCGTTGTTTTTATCACCCTCCATCTTTTACGGTTCTTCGTTTGTGGTTCTGCTGAAGTCCAGTGTTCTGTAGTGGCATGAGGTTTTTGTGTCTTTGTTACTTTGATCTCATTTTGTTAGACTTTGGTAATTTTAGCATTTAGATTTTTTCCCCCCAAGTTTTAATTTTGTACGCTTTTTTTTTTTTGTTGGCTTGTCTTTTTGGTTTGAGACCATCCTGTACTCCTGTTTCCCTGCACTTGGCTCCTCAACCCTGGACAAAAGCATTGAGACGCAGTCCTGCAGGTGGACTAACCACGTGTCCCAATATTTCTGTCCATATACTTCCAAAGAAGGCACAGGGAAGTAAAAATGGTTCCACTACCTCCAAGTGGAATGAAGCCCAATAAAGTTCCTACGCCACAGCAACATGTGAACCTCAAGAGTGCAGTCATGGAGTAACAGTGCAAACTTGTTTTCAAAATGTCCCTTTCTTGAAAACTGGAACTTTCCTTCATTGTGTCACGTCTCGAGTGTGTCCTTGGATCCTTCCAGACACTTCCAAGCATGTTGTGTGAGCGCACCGAGTAATCCTCTTACAGCACAAAAGCAGCTAAGAGGTTTACGTCAGGCTTCCTCTCGCCCTGAATCGAGGCACCGACACAGGTTTGTTCGGTCGAGCCGCGGTTCTGACAGTTGTGGCGGCCACACCAGCTGCCGCTGTTCCAGAATAAAGACATGGTGGTAAAAGGATTGCCTGAGAGGCCAGTGGCGAACGTGATGATGAACGAGGGGAAGGTGAACGACCTCATCCAGCGATGGGTGAGTCCACAACCTTCTCCAAAATGTCTTGTTGTGTTTAAAAAAAAAAAAAAAAAGTCTGAACAATCGCTCAAATTCAAATCAACAACACCAATGGGAAGAAAAAAATCATCACATTGCAATATTGTGGAAAAGAATAATCACAATTCATTTTGAGTAAGATCTTTCGGCTCTCGAAAAAAAATTCCTTCTAATGACAAAAGTTGGGAGGAGCAAGATGAAAATCGGGGGTGGCGGGTGTTGACAGGACAAGAGGATTCAACCAGAGTTGAATTTGGAAGAAATTGGGAGCATCAGAAGTGACTGCATGTACACGTTTCCGTCAGCAGGGGGCACCTACGGATAGCATCACTCGGAGAGGGACTTTTGGTCAACATCCACCGTATCGTTTGTTGACTTTGTACAGTTTAGTGTTTTGGGCATTTTTTAAAACCAATTTTAAGAAGGCCTGCACATGCACCAAATCCTCGGGTATTAATAATGACTTGAAGGTGCTGATAAAATCACGTGTCCTTTTGTAGAGAGACACTCCCGAGGAGGAGCTGACACCAGAGGACCGGGAGCATTTCATGGACTTGGCATGTTCGTGTCTCGCTCAGGGAGAGAGCGAGCGCTTGCTCATGTTCCTTCAAGACGACAAAAATCGGGTAACTCTCACTGGCTTTGTCCACAAGTTCAACTCCAACCAAGTGGGGCTTCAAAATGTTACACGAAGCTCAATCAAATTTGGAATAATTTGTCAACGTGACCAAACGTACAACACCATAAAACTTGCTAAAACGCTGGACAAAATAACCTAGACAACAAATGACGTCAGCCGCTTCCGGAGTTTGCTCACGTGACATTCGCAAGTTGAGCTGTGAGCGGTCGTGATGTCATTTTCAGGCGACACCAAGTCGATGAGATGGAGAAAATGGGTAGATTGTGCTGCTGAATTCATATTTCACAAAGTTGTAGAGAACATTTTCGAGTTGACTTCCCATTAAAAAAAGTAGCTCATACTTTCTAGATTTTTCTCCCCTCTCTAAAAACAAATGTTTATTCTTTTAAGCACCTTTGCAACAACGTCTATCGAGAAAAAGAAAAGGAAAAAAAAACAACTTGTTATTAATCCTGTCTCAAAGACCTTTTTAGACATGATTTATCAGTTGTTGTTTTCTGTAGAGGATGGTCCACTCCATGGGCTGCGTCCTCTTGGCTCCTCTCATGAAGGAAGCTTTGAAGAACGAGAAGAGTTGGGACCGCATCCAGTCGGCTATCACACACGTGACCACGGTGGGTTCGAACATAAGCGTGAGAAGCGAGACAGTCGTCATCCTGTTCATCCTGTCGCGTAGACCTGCGGGCCAGATGAAGTCCTGAGAAACTTGCTGGACGTCATGGAAGACACTGATGCGCCTTCTATTTCCGAGACCCTCGTGCAAGTGGTCCCTCATCTTGAAGCAGGTAGTTTTTAAATGCAGCTCTGTGGCGCCTCCTGTCGTATAAAGTACTGAAGTGCACTGTGCTCAAACAAGGCCTGCTGAGGTTGACGAAGGGTCGGGCGTCCTGGCTGGGCTCGGCGCTGAGGGTCCTGCACAAGCAGCTCACTCGGCTGCCGGTGCCGTACACCGAAGAGATGGAAAAGGAGGACCAGTGGGGCCTGGGCCGCTGTTGCCATGCCTTGACCACCTTCACTCAGGCCTTCTCGGGCGAGGTGAGGAACCACGAAGATGGAGAACGCCGGGAGATGAAGACGGAGCTGCTCAACTTGTACGTTTGACAAAAAGAACTGGCTTTGTGACAGCACAGGTGACTTTTCATTCAACCTTTTTTTTTTTTTTTTTAAACTACCGGTAACTTTTTTTTAGGAAACTGAAGAGAGTAGCATTGTTTTTTTTTTTTGGGAGGAGCAGGTGGCCTAAAACCATTTGCAAAATGTTATGGCGATGCCTCTGAAGGTTCAATGTGGGTGTTTCTCATCATGCAGCTGCATGAGAAGTCTCAGAGAACCTTTACTGGAGGCTCCGCTGACTCCCGGGACGACGACGGCCATGTGGCTGTTTGCGTCCAACATCACGGTGAGACACTACTTGGACAAAAATCCCTTGAAGGTTCTTCATTTTTCCATGAACGTGGGTTTTATTGCACAGGCCACTTTAGTCGCCATCCAAGAGTCAGCGGCCGACCTCCTGTTCTTCAGTACAATGAAGAAGAACATCCAGATGGACAAAAATCAGCTGGCCGAGTCCAAAGGCTGCCTGGCGTATCTGGTGTTTGTCAAGCAGCTGGATGCAGAACGCTTCCCCATCGTGTTCAGGTGAGACTTTGGATCCCGACATGATTTTCGCGTTTCTTTGGAGTCCGTCAAATGTCTCCAGTTGGGTCAAAACGCTGCCGCTCACTTCATAACTGGAACACGTAAGAGGGAGCATATAACGTCCACTGGCTGCTTGTGAACTACAGAGTTTATTTTTTTAGATTCCGCTCTTTGTTTTTGAAAGCATTAAACTTGAAGCCGTTTTTTTTTGTTTTTATGTTTGTATCGCTCTTTGTTTGCGTTTTAAAGTATTTTCATGATGTTTAATTGTCTTCTGTCCAGTTTAATTTATTTACTGGACAGAAGAGCACTTTGTTTCAGCCCTGGTGTTTGTTTTTAAAGTGCTCTATAAATAAAACTGAGTTGAGTTACATTTCGCAAGCCCATTAAGAGTCTTTGCTGTCGTTCCCAGCCCTGAATTTGTCCTTCGGCGCAACCTGGAATACATCCACCAGCTGCTCAGGAGGTACGACATCAACTCCGAATGAACGATTCTTGGATCTTTTTCGTACGACTAAAATTACATTGTCTAACTTTGTCAGCAAAAAGGAGTCACACGTACTCAAAGGACTGGTAAGGAATAAGCATTTCTCATGAGAATGACATTGCAGGATTTAATCGTACGGTCCTTCAGGCGCTGTTTGAAAAAAGTCTGGAGAGAGCGCAGGACAACAGCTTGCTCGTCACACTGCTGGAAGTGAAGAGTTTTTACGATGTAAAGCAGGTACAACTTTTATATTTAAACTCAGCTAATGCCTTGAGACTGACTGAAAAAAAAAACCCAAAAGAAATCAGAGCATGGACAGTTTGGTCCAATTCGTCCGCATATTGATATGCGGAAAAATACGTACGATTCATATTTGGGCCGGTAAATTTACAGTGACAATGTCAAATGTTCCAGAGTCTGCTGCAGGTTCTGACTGAATGCCCCATGCGACATCTGGTGAGTATTTTTACCATAGTGATCAGCTCTAATCGTGACTTTGACATAATCAAATAGCAAACCAAAACCAAATTGAGCAAATGCATGTTTACAGAGAGAAAGTGGACTCACCGTCCTCCAGCTCCTCATCAATAAACTCGACGCTGAAGCAAAGCACAAGCTCTTTGGGCAAGTTGTCGTCTCCAACCTTGCCTTGTATTTTTTGGCACACTGTGTCCTGGTTTCTATTTGTTTTTATTTATTTATTTTAAACAACAACAACAGAAACCTGCTCAAAACCAGCAAGCATCCGGGAGTGGAAGGTTATATTGTGAAGAACATCAGAAATCAAGTCGAGTTCTCCATGAAGGTGACATTCGCGACCAGCATGAAAACCCAAAACGACACACATGTATTGAAAAAATGTCCAACAGCATTATGACGTTGCAGCCGGGCAACGCCACGAGATGGTTCCTGGGGACGGAATTTGTGTCACTCCTGCGCTTGGCGTTTAGTTTGCCTCAGGGTACGGAAACAAACGTGCTCCACGATATGGACAAGTAAGTCTGTTTCAGAAACGACAACACTAATTAGCTGGCTGAGTTACAAAACTTAAAATGTCAATGTAAAAAAAAACCCAAAAAAAAAACATAAAAATTAAAAAGCCTTTTCCTTGTGTTAATCCAGGATCATGGAGAGCCTGAACCTCCTGCGCTACCTTCTCATCCGGGACAAACCATTGAGGAGCAATGTAGGTCACCCGGATTGGACGTCCTCATTCCTCACTCGTCTACACGCCCGATTATCGTCTCTTCTATCCGCAGGCGGACGTGTGGGAAGGAGTGTGCGGCATCAAGGAGGAGTATACCAAAATGCTGCGTGTGTGCATCAGCATGTCAAGATTTTTTTACACGGGCGAGCTGAACGAGCTGAGAGATGAGCACAAACTCAAAGCCAGAGGTAAAGGCGCACACGCCCGGAGAGTCGGGACTGGTCAACGGCAACTTTGAATCGGAGATATTTTTGAGGCTGACTTCAAAAACGCCTTTACGTTTTTGTTTTTGAGATATTTCCATTTAAAAAAATTTAAGTGTGACCACTAAATTGCGCAATACGGATTTAGAGACTTCATGGTCATGACACTAATCACCTCTCTATGTGCTCTGTGACTGACTGGCGACCAGTTGCGGGTGTGGTCTGCCTTCTGCCCAAAGTCAGCTGGGATAGGCTCCAGCATGACCCTGTTCAGGATAAGCGGTGTTGAAAATTGATCCATTTGTTTGAGTAAAATTACCTTTTCTGCATTTAAAAAACAAAATGTAACCACACTGTTTCCTACTATCCTATGACTCTCTTTTCCTACATTTTCATAAGACGACAGTACAACTTTTTTCCCCCTCTCATTGCGTCATTTATTTTTACTTGCTTGCCGTTTCTGCCCTCTAGCGGCCAGAGCGTCAACCTGCACCCGCACACACCTTCAAAGTCAGCCAGTCAAGCGAGACACGATGTCGAAAATGTCCCCGGAGGTGCGGCACCAGGTAAACCACACAGAGTCATATCATCAATCATATGACATCGTTTCACTTGGAACCGTACCTCAGGTTCTGCAGAGCGCTCTCGTGACCTTTGACCTGATGGAGAGCCTCATTGCGCGCACGGAGGAGATTGCTGCGGAAAAGAACCACGACCGGCTCGACGCCAGCGCTTTATTTTGTTTGAATGAACAAAAAAAGCGTCAAATGTTTTGACACACATTGGTGATTAGCTGAGCTTCTTAAGCATGTCCCACACGGGGCTTCTCTCGACGATGTGAGTTTTGGCCAGAGACATCCTGTGCCGGATGCGTTCCACGTGAGGCTGGCTCGTGGCCTCCAGAGGGAGAGGGGGGGGGGGGGGGGGGAGAGATACACAATTAACTCACCTAGCAGGACTTGAATTTGGAGAAGAAAAAAAAAAGTGGCACAAAGTGGAAACGCAGCCTTACCTTTGCAATGGTCAGCATTCCTTTGAGAATTTCGCTGTTGTTTCGCACAGGCAAGATGCGGAGATTACTGCTGAAGAATCTGGGAAAAAATAGACAAAAAAGTCAAACTTCTGAAGTGAGATTGATGGAATAAAACATTTCATACATGTACAGCATGGTGTATAATTGTCGAAACTTTTACAATGCTTATCTTGGCTGATTTTGAAACTTTTATCTTTGGCTGAAGACCTGGCACTTGAAATTCTATTTTGAAATGCTACTCCTGGCTTGAATTCCTCACCTTTGCTTCAAACCCTAATTTGTCAAACTAACCTTGGCTTGAACCCCTAATTTGTAGCATTAACCTTTGGACCCTAATATGAATACCAACTCTAACTCTGCCTTGAAACCAGAACCTTGGCTGTTTATCATACTTTTCTTGGATGAGTGAGAGCATGTCCAGTTGTCGTTTGCCGTTGAAAGGAGCATACAGCAGCACAAAACTATTGCGGTGGACCCGCACAAATTTTTGGATTTGCTCGATAAGGCCCGGCTCATCTCTGACATTTTCAGGCTCCACCAGTTTGAAAGCAGTACCTACACATGCAAGACATGACTGCAATTAGCACAAGACCAGTTTACATTAACACATAAAATAACGTGACGGAAAAATAGATTTTACCCTTGTTCGGGTAAATAACGAGCGATTAGACATTGTTTTACCAGACAGAGGAAAAATGAAAGAGCCAGACTCCACACTGTCTGACAGTCGGATTCTGTGCTGTTGAGCTCGGAGCATCCGGATGGTTTCATGGCTCTGAAAAAAAAAGACATCAACCGAGCCAAAAGGTTTAAAGTTTGATTCACACTTTTGGTTTTACACAAGGAATTGAATAGAATAGAATCTCGGAACTTCAACCCACTAAAAGTGGTCACAGCAATTTGGAAAATGACCTTTTTTTCTGGGGATAAAATAGAAACATTTACTTTAATTAAAAAGGCATACACATATAGGTATATCCATTTTAACTCGAGGGAATTAAAGTTTAAAAAACAGTTGTAAATATCCACTTAAAAAGCACAGATATCAGAAATTACGGCGATTATTTACAACGCAGTGGTTATTTTGCCGTAACTGGCAACTCGCCACCAAGCGTTAACTGCTTACCTGCAGTGACGTGCTAATGATGATAGTTGTTGTCCACCTCATTTCCCCGTCAGCCGCCATCACCAAAAGAGAGATGAAGGTAATTTTGAAAAAAATAAAAATATCCACAACAAAGTCTTGTTATTTTCTTTAGCTTTTTGCTGCCTCCGCGTCAGCCAGTTAGCTGTCTAGCTAGCTGCTAGTTAGTTAGCTTGTCTACTTTGCGGGGGTTGAATAAAAGCTGATGGAAGGTGTTAAAAAATGTAATTTAAACTTTACAACACCAGTCTGTTACTACGACGAGTGTCCAATCACTTCTACCAGCTGTGTGGAATCGAGATGTCGTTTTTCAAGTTTGGGGTTTGATTTGTTACTTGGTTTTAAATTAGCTAACGGCGATCACTCCCCCCGTTCATATTTTGGGGGTTTAAATGACAAAAAGAAGATGGAACGTCAAAAATGTCCCAAAGGTTTTTACGAAACGATTAGCTGTACTTTCAAATTTTAAGTTAGGCGTCAGGATTTGGGTAATTTTTGAGGGTTAAAAGTCGTCTCTACTTGAATACAACTAACTATACCCATTTTCTCCAAAAACTCCTAGTTTATTTTTGTCTGTTGTGCCGAAAATGCATTTTTTCCCCACAGTGAGTACTATATCTTAGTGTTTTGTGTGTGCCTTGCCAAATACATTTCAACTCTCGATAAACACACGTCTTTATTTTGGTAATATGACACAAAATGCCGAGGCTGTAGCCAACATTAGTTTCTTAAAGGTATCCATTAGAACATAGAATGATCAAGAGAGTGGGTGAGTGTGTACATAGACTGATTAATAGATTAAAAAACAAAACATTATTTGTTCAGTCTCTTTGTATGGCCCTGTAGCAAATGTCCCAAGGACTGGTGGTCTGGGACCGCTGCATTAGAAGACTTCAATGAGAGAGTTGTTGTTTTTATTCCCTGCTTGGAAGCAACATGAAAAACATCGGTATGCATAACAGACCTCTAAAGGGACATTTTTTTTTGACTGAGAATAAATTGGGACCAAGACATAACATGATTTTCGCATGTGTGGCGGGTCAGTGGTGTGTTTCCAGTTCCACGATGGTCCACTCCCCTTGTGGCGAGGCGGCGTCTTCCGGGGAGAAGCTGGTCACCGTGATACTGGTGGACGAGTCCTCCATGGGCGAGATGAGTTCTGCCCAGCGCTTGAAGGTCTCCCTTTCCGGGGACAGGAAGGCCCTTGCGTCCAGACAGTCCCGTGACAAGGACAGCGTCTGCTTGATCAGGTACTGTGCCAGGTTCAGTTCTTCGGGCACCGGGTTGATCACTCCCAGATTGGACTCCTGGTCTGAAAGGAGCTGCCTGAGCAGGCTCCAGTCCCGTTCGGCAAACTCGCTGCCTTTGTCCTCAGTGTTTCCTTGTCTGGATCTGTCCTTGTCCGAGCGTCGCGCTAAAGTGTCGCCCGTGTCCGTCTCGTAAATGGGGGAGAGGGCTTTGTTGGACGGCGTCCGCTCGCGTTTGCCGCCGCCTAGATCCAATCTGTCACAAGCAATGTCGCCTAAAAACAATTGACAATATTGCAAAATGACAAACTGAATCACAGCCCTGCGCGTCTTTTTGTTTGTGAACATTTCTCAGACAAATTACACATAAAATAATAATCAATATTGTTGGTTGGGAGCCGCAGGGTTTCGAGTCGGAAGTAGTAGCTTTAATGCAGGGGTATCCAAACTTTTTCCAACACACAATTGTTCCCAAAAAAAACCCCCAACTGCATTATTAATTTCGGTCTGGCGATTCGTACGTTCTCTCACTTAACTCAGGCCAAAGCATTTCTGACAGGGACAGAGCAGAACAAATTTTTTGTTTGTTTTAAAGCCTTTTTGTGCAATCACGTTAATTGTTTTAAACAAATGGGAAACACCGAGCGTTGGCTTTCTATTTTAATTTGTGCAACAAAAAGTAGAATTTGTACAGAGCAGACGTATGGAATGCAGTACGTTTTTTTTGTTTTTTTGTTTTTTTCTTCCGACAAGGACGGTGACTGCTAACACGCTTTGGCAAACCATCGAGAGAATGATCCATCATATTGTAACATTCAAAGATTTTATTTATAGACGGTGACATGAGCCAGTCAAGAAAAGAAGGCATAAAATGGCCCCCGGACCGAATTTTGGACACCCCTGCTTTAACAGCAGCTTTGACAGCAAAAACAACACTTTTCAATGCATCTTTTTTTGGTTTGTTTTTTTTTAATCCACATGCCCAAACAAAGCAAGAAGCCATGCGTCGCACAGAACTCGTGTGTGGCACAAAATCTAAAATCAAACCAGTTTGCGTAGATATGCTTCTCAACGGCAAACTGTTGTAGGTTTTTTTTTGGGGGGGGGGGGGATTTGAACAGAAAGGAAGGACAAAATGTACGACACAGTAGGAACGCTGCGCCGGCCAAAGCAAACAGCAACATTGTTTGTCGTCGTCAAGCATCGGGACATGAGTCAACAGGGGACAACAGAAGATAAATCAAGACAAACAAAGAAAATGGATGTCGGGGAAAGCAGCAGCATGCATGTGTGCAGTGACAAAATAAGAACATCAAAAACAAAACAAAAGACAACTTGGTGCACAAAAGAAAGAACAACAAGGAGATTCAATTTTTTTTTAGGCTAACTTTTTGTTAGCTTCACTTGCTACACAATTTAAAATAAAAACATATATATTTTTTTAAATACAAAAAATATAAGTTATCACGTATAGCATTTTAACAAAAAAAAACAAAGAAAAAAACAGTTTATTTTGTTGGATATTATACCGGAACTACATGGCAGTATTTGGAAGAAATAGCGTTAAAATATTGATTGACAAAAGCACCTGTCAATCATCTTTAGCCATCTTTCATGTTCACAGATTGGACACTTTTCGATAAATTGCCAATTTTTAAAAATTTGTGTGCGACTTTGAAGCTACAGTTGCTGATCTTTTTATGAAGTAAAATTATTATGATTTTTTCTTCGTACATTATCCAGCTCGTGTCATGTTAAGATTCTGTCATGACCTCGTAAGCCTTGGCGGAAGTTCCCACGCATTGCTCGTGATTTAAAAACAAAACAAAACAAAAAAAAAAAAACAATGCAATTAGTGGCGCAGCCTCCACCAAACACTCCGTCCATAAACAGACGTAAAGAGAAGTGTCGCTTGGCAACTTTTCGGTTGCGTTTGGCCACCAAAATAGCCAGAGCGGCATTTGCGAAATGTTAAAATGCTGCACGTGGCAACCTCAGGGGTGGAAATGTGGAGCGCTGCAAGAAATCCAGCACAAAAATAAAATGTTTGTGTGTGTAAAAGTGCTTTTTTTTTTTTGTTTTGTTTTTAATGAAACGACCCGTTCCCTACGGGTCCTTCACCGAGGTCTGACTCAGGATATCGATGTTGCAAATTCAAATGCTGATTTGAATTTGAACCGGAATGTCCGAGGTGGTAATATCCTTCTTTTTACACAAGCGATGGCAGGTACAGTGTAGGGGTCAGGACTAAGAGTCAGGCCCAGAGAAAATGGTTTTGGGGGGGTGAGGGGGGGGGGGATCAGGTTTCGAGTCCATATATCATACATTACCTGCTGGAGACTGTGCAGCATGTGCGGGCGTGTCCCCCGTCACGCGTGGCTCATTTAAGTCTAGGTGCAAGTCGGCCTTCTTGGTTCCGTTGGCGTACGGTTGCCGCAGGTCCAGGTGACACGGCCGTTCCTGGGGCGGGGGGTCTCCGGCCGCGTCGACGCTCGGCGGAAGCGGGCCTGTCCCTCGGCTTTGCTGACTCTCCGTTGGGGATTCTGCAGGCCTTTCTTGGGGCCCCCCACCTTGCTCCTGGCGCGCCGTTCCCGAATGTTGGCACGGGTTGGGTGAGCGGGAAGGGGCGCAGTGGGATTGCGGAGTGACCGAGTCCGACTCGAAAACATCACACGGGGTGGCGGCGTCGTCGTCGGGGTCTTGAGGGGTCTGGGCGCCGCATTCTTCCGAGCCCAACTCCTCGCACTCATCCACGGAGAGCAAAACGGATCGGCGGAAATTGGAAGTGGACTGAAAGTCGGGTTGCTCGTCGTCCTGGTCCGCGGCGCCATCGTCGAAGGCCAAGTTGACGATGCCTTGAAATGGCGGCGAGGGTTCTGTCAGACCCTGACTGGGGACCACCTCCACTTCGGACCTCTCCTCCTCCGTCTCCTCTTCCTCCTCCTCGGAAGTCTGGCGCTCCGGGACGCTGGATGTCGTCTCGGCGGACACCAAACGTTGCTTTTGCAACAGCGAGCGGGGACGCGGCCTCGCGCCTTCTTCCTCGCTGGTGGTCTCCATCTCCCGGCCGCGCAGCCGGACCTCCACCCTCAGCCCGGCGCCGGCCTCGTACATCTTGATTTCCTCGGGCGTGCTCGTGTCGCTGCTGCTGCGCCCCAGGAAGTCATGGCAGCGCATGGTGCCGCACTTGGACACCCCTCGTTCGTTGAAGCAGTCGTCGTCTTGCGAGCCGCCCGCGTCGTAGTCCTCCGAGCAGGGCTTGATGTCGTCCGAGGAGGTGGAGTGCGTGCTGCCCGTCTCGGACGCGGGGCTGATCTGCGTGTGGATGCCGCCCCAGGAGTCCTCCAAGGGAGTGCCGGTGCTTCCCACGCTGCAGGGAGTGTCTCCGGGGGTACTCGGAGACCGAACGCCCGTGAGGCTTTCAGTCTTTTTCACCGACGCGATGGATCTGACGGCCTGCGGCGCTACGCTAGGCTCTTCTGCTCCATTTGTCGCCTGTTTCTCAGTCTTCTGGACTCCGGAAGTACAAGTTGAGTCCAGATGGAGCCTGAGGGAATCTTGGTCCTGGCTTGGCTGTGGCGCCGCTAGCTCCTCAGAGCAAGCAAGTGCGGCGCTTCCACTCTGTTCCCGTTCGGTTTTACAGTCTGAACTTTTATCATTCTCCTTAGCCTCTGGGCCTTTAGCACTTCGAATGGTCGCTCCACATTTTAGCGGTGCTCTCTCCGTTTCATTGGTACTTTTAAGCTTTGGTGCCGACTTGCTTAAGGGTTGCTTCGGTGGCGGAGGAGACACTTTGGTTGATTTCGAAAAGGACTTGGTGGAGTTTCCGGTTAAGACCTTTTCGGCCGTTTCCGCGTGTGGTTTGGTCGGCGCGGAGGCTCTCGAGCCGTCTGAATCCTTCCTGGGCAAAGTCTGCTTTTTCCCAATAGCGCCGTGCTTGGCGGCTAGAGCACAAAAAGAACAGGGAGGTGTTCAAAAGACTTTTAGACTCACACGAGAGATAAGTTAGGAGAGCAAAAAGTCTGACCGTGGTTGTCTTGGATTCCTTTGCCTTTGGTGTCCGCTCTTGCTACGGGCTTGACTTTGACGCCTTCTTTCACCTTGGATCTGCTGACGGGACTTGCCGAGTCCGTTTTGGCGAGTGGTGGTTTGTACAGCGGCTTGGCCTGCTGCTTGGGCTTGGCTCCTGGAACACGGTCATAAACCACAAATGTTGAGGACAAAAGCTTGACAGTCGCCGTTCGTCTGCTCTGCCCCGATACCGATAGCGTTACCAGCGACAAGCTCAAAAGATCCGCAGTTCGAAGTCAGCGGTTAAGAGATGGCAGTTAGAGTTAGCCGAGTTCGGGGTTACGGTTAGTTGTTTCGCGTGTCCCTGATCCCCGGAGTCAAATATTGAATTTAGCATACAACAGCAGCTAGCATGGGGATTCCGAGGTTAGCGTTCTGAGTATCGGTTAAGGGTGGACGAGGAGTTGAGACTGAAGCGTTTAAAGTTAGTTGCTCGGGTTTAAAATGTTGCAATCCAACCAAATCAAACATCGACCAGAGTCCCAGGATGGATTCCGTTCAGCCTTGGAGGTTTCACTTTTTGTCTTTTAAGTGCTTGAGTACGAAAGGGTTTGAACAACGCCGTCGGTGATGACATCGGGATTAAGCGGCCTTTGGAAAACCACAAAAGCTCAAAGTGCTCAGTCGACCAAACAACCCGCCCACCCCCAGTTCCCCTCAACCCCCGGAGTCCCCGCAGTCTGACAGCAGCTGTGCAGGGGCTTAGACGTCTGCGGTTGAGCAGCTGCCGGCACATTGATAGCAGCCTGAGCGCGTTTTATCTCGGCTTGTCTCGACGCTGTAGTGACATGACTTCTGACAAGTCTTTCAGCAGACGTCGGGGACTCAAGTCCCCAATTTTAGGACATGGGACTTGGTTGTCTGAGACTTAACAAAAACTCGGCTTCGATTGACTTCTCACCTCTGTCATTCAGTCCCAATGATTTCGAGATAACAAGTAAGCACCTGGAATGGAGGCAGTGCCGTTTCGAGGGCTCCCGCCGCCGTTTTCTGGCGAGACGCCACCCGACGTGGATGAGGCGACTCGCTGCGCAGAGCCTCTGGGAGCTCTTGCCATGCAGCTAGGAGGGGAGGTCTTCGGTCTGGTCCCAGGATTGACCTTTTTCTCAGTCTCCTTCTCCACACGGGGGCGAGCCGGACCGGCAACGTCCCTCCCGACTCCTGCGGCCCCGGCAGTGCCGTTCACAACCGGCGTCCCGGTCAGCAGTGTCGTCTTTGGCTTTGCCGCCGAGCTCCGCTCTCCGGGCTTCTTGGTCGTCTTCCGATTGGAGTTTTGTCCATCTCCTGATTTGTGAGCGGTCGTCAGCGCATCTGACTTCATGGCGGGAAGAGGAATCTACGAGCTCAGACGCTCTCGAACTCAGCAGACGGAGAACATCTTCCGAGGCGCCTTCTTCTGCTCAAAGACACCAAAGAACATCGAACTGTGTGAGGATCGTCGCTGTGTGTTGGGACCGCACGAAAACCATCGAAAACTTTGACATCTGTCACAATTTTGTATTCACACAAAAAGATGAGAAATGTTTCCATATGAATGTCGGGACATGCCGACATTCCTCGACTGATGTATCAACAAATTCCTTTCACACTTCTGCCTTCAAAGCAGTTGCCATTTTTTTTTTTTTTTGGACCAAAGAAAGACAACAAATGCTGCAACGTGCATATGAGGCCAGTACCGTATTTTCCACACTAAAAGGTGCACCTGAAAGCATTCCGACTTAAAAGCTCACAGCGCCTTAAAATCCGATGCGGCTCATTACGGTAATATTTTGACCCCCAAAATAGCTCCTTGCTCGAGGCATGCTGACAACTCAGAGTTCAAACTTAAGGCGATCGGTTACGCGGTTGAACACGGAAATAGAGCAACGTTAACGAGTCAATGTTATAACTTGCTGTTGGTTAAGTGAACTGCCTCGCTGCTTTATTAAGTTTTACTGACATCTGATCGTTCTGTCGGCGTTTCCTTGAGCGTAGCTCCATCTAGTGGATGCATTGTATATTGCGTCTTATAAAGCGATGCGCCCAATGTATGAAAAAAATGACAAAATAGGCCATTCATTGAAGGTGCGCCTCATTATCCAGTGCGCCTTTTAGTATGGAAAATACGGTAATTGGCGACTTCACTTTGTCAAGAAATGTTTGGGATAACAACCATCTCGTAAACACCAAAGAAAGCCCAAGTCCACGCTACGGAGTGCTATGTTTAGTTCTGAAGTGGCCGCTGTGTTTCTGATACTCGACAAGGATCAATAAAGGGGAGCTCTCAATCCCGCCTGATCCGCACGGTGGGGGTCTTAGCGGCACATCTGCCGCTCATTCCAAGCTGATGCGCTCAAGCCGGCTCTGCCATTTGTGTCACGTGGCAAATCTCTGCAATCAAGGGCTAAAATTACCGTACATGTGATGCATCATCGTCTGCTCGTCAAAAGACTGAGCGGTATGTCAATGATGCTAATGCTAAACAGGCAAACTTTTTTTGTGTATTTTGACGACGCGCCATGGGTTCAAATTTTTATTATTTTTTTTTCTGGATGGGTGAGGTAGCTTAGTGGACCAGCACACACAACACTGTGGGGTGCCTGTCAGAGGCTACTTGGGGGGGGAAGCACTATAGTGGTGAAATGTAGCAAAACGGCAAGAAATGAGGCAGATTGGGTGCAACTAACACCGAAGGTCACATAGCGTTTCTGGAAGATTAACATGAAGGCACCCAACATTGTGAAGTGACCCCATGTCAGAATCTACTTGCCAAAAAGGGGCTACGGCGGAGAACCCAAACAAAACGGCAAGACTGGGTGGAACCAACAAATCACCAAGCATCCCGGGACCCAAACGCGGATGCACACATGATGCAGCGACCACACCATACACGACACTTGAATTCCACTTAGTCAAAAGTACCAGTAACGACCTGGGAGCTGCTGACGACAATCTTCTGGTGCAAAGCATCTGGAGGCAGACAACAGCTGGAACATCATGAGTAAGCTCTTACCTTAGTGCGCGCGCGCACACTCACGCGCAGTCCATTGAGCAGAGAAAAAAAACAAACCTTCGGTCAATGAATTGATCGGCGCGCTGCATCCAAGCGGCAGTCACACAAATCCAGCAAATAATGCGAGCTAAGAACACGACAGACAGTTCATAATCACAACGATAATAAGCCTCGTGACGAGGTCGGTGCGTCTTCCACGCGGTCCGCATGCGATGACATCCAGGATGAATTATTCAGGCGGCTACTTCTGTGTCCCTTTAGCATCCACAGACCAGCGTGTGGATCATGTGCACCGTTTTACTCCCCACCCGCACGACCCCGACACATTTCTCCTCCATGCAGCACATATTAGTAAGCACAAAAAAAAGGTGCTAGCTAAACGAAGCTAAATCATATCATCCCCACAGCACAAGCCTCTCACCTGCTCCGGAAACCACGAGAAGCTCCAAAGGAGACGCAGTCCAGCAGCAGCGTGGAATGCGTCTGGTGATTGGACCTCTTAGGGGCGTGGGGGGGGGGGGGGGGGAAAAAGGGGGGGGGGGTGGGGGAAGAATTGAAAAAAAAAAAAAGGGTGCTGTGCTGTGTCAGCCAATCAGCAGCTGCTTGGAAGGACCTTTCATCGCCATAGCAACACACAACCCCGCCCTCCTCAGGCTCATTCTCGGGCACGCGAGACGTGTACGCGTGCGCGTGAGTGGCTGTGGGGGTGGGATCAGATTACCTGAGACCGCCACGGGTTTAATCCACGAGGGCAACGTCTCACTCACCTCCCAAAATTTGCCGTTAACCTCCGCCAACGATGTCACGTTTCGATTGCTTTGTTTGTTTATTTCTATTAACTGGTCTTGATTTGTCGCCGCCAGTTAACGTGAACTTTTCCTGAACATAAGCACATCTTTGTGGCGCAACCACGTCAGAGTATACATCGTTGTTTAAAAAAAAACAAACAAAAAAAAACACGCCTCAAGACACCTGGGTGTCCTTGTAAAAACGCCTTACTTTACATGCTCATTAAAAAAAAGACATTTTTTTAAATGCCTTACTATACATGGTTATATTTTAAAACACGCCTCACTATACATGGGTGTCATTTTAAAAACGCCTTACTTTACAAGCACAAAATATTTTTTTAATGAGCCTGTGAAGTAAGGCGTTTTTTAAAACGACCATGTATCGTGAGATGTGTTTCAAAATCTAACCATGTATTGTAAGTTTGTTTCTTTCAAAAATGACCATGTAAAGTAAGACGTTTAAAATTTTTTTGTTGGCTTTTTTTTAATGAGCATGTAAAGTAAGGCGTTTTTTAAAACAACGACCATGTATTGTGAGATGTGTTTCAAAATCTAACCATGTATTGTAAGTTTGTTTCTTTCAAAAATGACCATGTATAGCAAGGCGTTTAAAAATTTTTTGTTGGCTTTTTTATAATGAGCATGTAAAGTAAGGCGTTTTTAAAACGACACCCATGTATAGTAAGGCGTGTTTTAAAATATAACCATGTATAGTAAGGTTTTTTTTCTTCAAATCGACTATGTATAGTAAGGCGATTAAAAAAAAAAATTAATTGATTTTTTTTTTAATGAGCATGTATAGTAAGGCGTTTTTTGAACGACGACCATGTATTGTGAGATGTGTTTCAAAATCTAACCATGTATTGTAAGTTTGTTTCTTTCAAAAATGACCCTGTATAGTAAGGCGTTTAAAATTTTTTTGTTGGCTTTTTTATAATGAGCATGTAAAGTAAGGCGTTTTTAAAACGACACCCATGTATAGTAAGGCGTGTTTTAAAATATAACCATGTATAGTAAGGTTTTTTTTCTTCAAATCGACAATGTATAGTAAGGCGATTAAAAAAAAAAAATTAATTGATTTTTTTATTTTTAATGAGCATGTATAGTAAGGCGTTTTTTTGAACGACGACCACATATAATGAAGTGTGTTTTAAAATATAACCACGTATACTAAGTTTTTCAAAAATGACTATGTATAGACTTTGACACCGATGGTTTACCCGAATATTTACAAATGACATTTGTCAGTCTAATAGTTGTATTTAGAACATGAGCAAAACTCGAAAAGGGGGGCGGATTGTGCACGTAGCGAAGCTCCACAGAACATCAACACAGACTGTTCCTCAGGATTGGTTGTAATGAGCTTCTCTTTGATAAGTGCAAATCGAATCAAGGTGGTCTTTGATTGGATCATCTTCATATTTCCTTCCTACGGAAAAAAAAGAGGATAACGAGTGGGCTGATAACAAGCTAACGATATTTAGATCAATTACACCCAAGCAGACGGGATCAGGATCGCCATGAGATACCTGACCAGCGACTACTGTAAATACTGTACGTTCTTACCACATACCGTATCCTCACACATTGTTGCATGTTGTCATATTTCACAACATGTTGCCGTATATCACCTCATAGTGTCACATCGCAACAGGGATCATGGAGCAAGTGAACTCCTGGAGTGTCCTTGGCGACTGCAGCCCCGAGGCCACTCCAGCAGTTCCCTGGCTGGACGTCGACCCGCGTTAAAGCAGGCGTGGTGGAAGTTAAGGACAGCACTTCGTCTCTGAGCCCGGAGGCGCAAACATGGACTCCAGTGGACTGTGCTACTTTGAAGCCACTACTGGGTCCAGTCCCCAGAAGCTCAGCAGGAGACCGAGCTCATGTGTTTTCCTGACCCGGCTCCCCACCGTCTTCGCTTCTTCTCCATCAGGGATAAAATTTCCACGCATGCAGTATTTTGTGCCGGAAAGCCAACCAAGCAAACAGTGAGATGTCGGATCTATTTGACGTTTCACACGTGACTCATTGTGTGACTTCCAAGAGGACAAAAAGTACGTTTGCACTTTTTATGAAATGACGCCCACTTTGTTAGGGACACCTGCACAACCCAACACGTGTGTATCAGCGAATGATGCTTTCACAATGAAACGGTAATGACATCCCTTTAAAAAAAAAAAAAAATCTGTATAGCTATTCAGACAAAAACAAAAGCATCCCATGGCAATGCAGACGATTTAAAAATAATGCAAGATAAATTCAGTTAAAAAAAAATATACCACCATGTGGAAAAGTGTAAAGTAGTAACCTATGACATCAAATTTTTAAAAAGAAAAAAAAAATTAAACTTCTTGCCAACAAAAATGAAAAGAAAATGGTCGTATAGATAGCAGAAAATAAAAAGTAAAACACAGTGCAGGCATTTTGGCTATTGATGACACAGTTAAAATAAGTAAAAGAAAAAAAAACAGTTAGGCCATTTAGACCGCCCCCTCCCCACAATCTGGCTATTTAGTCAACTGAATGTAGAGTATTTGGAAATAAAATAATTGGACTTAGCACCCCCTAGAGGACGGACGCGAAACCATTACCGACCACGAATTTGATTGGCCTTGGATAAAAAAAAAGTGTGGTTGACAGAATGTTGCAATTATCTTTGGATAACTTTTGGGTGATTCATCGTTGTGTTGTGTTGGATCTCGGTAACTCCACGAGGTCAGCACCAAGGTCTGATGCCAACTCAGGTGAGGCTAAGATGAGCAGTGTGCACGTACACGTGTGCGCGAATATGATTAATCTCCTAAATGGCTCACAGGCATGACGAGACACCGCGATGACCTTCACGCTGGCTAATACATCACAATGTATCAATGCAAATTCCAGACACCATCACAAAAAAAAATAAAAGAAAGACAAGACCCACACACAAAACACTGTCAAAATTTCAAGAATTGAGACAAATGGTGCAGAACTAATAACTGGCGTAGCGCCCCAGAACCCAAACGGATGAATGCAACATTGTGGAGTGACCATATATGAGCTGACTGTGGCCCTTCAGAACGAAACACAACACTATGGAAGGACCTCGTGTGAGGGCCGATTAGGGAAACAGGCGCTATTTTATTTTTAAATAAAACGTCGAGAAAGGAGGAAAACTGTGAGTCACGTCGCTCCCCCAATACAAGTCTGGTCGCGCACAACATTGTGGAGCAACCGGATGTCAAGTGTCTGTTAGAAAACTGGGGCCGACAGTTTAATGGAGATTGATTGGGTGGGAATGCATGAATAGGCCTCATGGCTTACCAGAACACACACCGAGACGGACCCAACGTTGTGGGATGACCACATGACAAAGTCGAGATATTTCCGCAACTGCAGACGAGGAAGGCAACTGGTGAAACATTCGATATTTCAGGCACATTGGAAATGATGTCAAGTGAAAAGTGTTTTAAACAAAGTGGACATACACACACACATACACAAAAAACACTGCAAAGTGTTCACGTCATCTTTGTGTGCGTTTGTTGTCGTGCTACTCTATTTATAGCAGCACCTCGATTTCTATTCCTGGTGTTTTGTTTTTTTGAACAAAAGGCCTCTATTTTCAACAGCGACTACTTTTAGAAAGAACCTCAGAAGAAGTGACAGGAAGTGGATTTATTTAGGAAATCACAATGGTGGCTCTGTGAATTTCGCAATGCATGCGTGGTACAAAACAGGAAGTACACGCCCCCCACCCCCCTGAAAAAAGATGCAGGAAGTGTAAACAACAAAAAATAAATTAGCGGCATGTGTGATGCTGACTAAACAGTGGCTCCGCTTTGTCTTCATTTTGTTGAGTGTCAGCCTTATTTTCATAAGTGGATGACATTTTTTCCCTCTCCTCATATTCTGAAAGACACCCCCCCCCAAAAAAAAAGAATTGATTCATAAGCCTGTGATAGAACAAAATGTGTATTTGGGTTGCACTGTAAACAATGAAAGTCTTCACCCCGCGTCCTTCTCAACAGCATCCGCCCCCAAAGTGTGCTTTGAACATGGCGATTGGGCGGTCGCCCCGTTGCCCGGCAACGCCGCCGCCGCCGCCCGCCCATCCGTCAGTTCCTGTGGCCCTTGCGGCCGTCGCCCTCCTTGAGGAAGGTCCACATGAGCGTGTTGACGATGTCGGGCTGGTCCTGCTGCAGCCAGTGGCTGGCCCCCGAGATGACATTGAGGCGGAAGTGGCTGCGGATGTGCACCCGGCACGCCTCGGCCATCTCCTGCTCCACAAAAGCGTCACGCTCGCCCCACAGCAGCAGCACCGGAGACCGCACCTGGTTGTGGCTCAGCGGCAGAGAGCTGGAATCAGAGCAGGGTCAAACTTGAGTTTAACGTTTTCGTTACCACTTTTTTTTTTTTTTTTTAAAAACGTACCCATCGCCCTCACCAAAAAATAAAATAAAAAAATTGGACCCACACAACTCTGTGGAGCGACAATATGTGAGTGTCAAATATTTTGGCGGAAACAAAGCCAAGCAGAAAGAACGATGCAGACTGTGTGGAACGACCAAGCACGGTAGCTTCCTGGAACAGAAATATTCACGTCCACAACACTGTGGAGCGGCCGGATGTCAGAGGCCAGTGG